TCTCTCTCTGTCTGTCTCTCTCTCTCTCTCTCTGTCTCTCTCTGTCTCTCTGTCTCTGTCTGTGTTTCCACATCTTGAGTCTATCTTGGCCCATCTAGGGGCTATCTTCCCATATCTGGGACCTATGTCGGGTCATCTTGCAGCTATGTATATCTGGGACCTATGCTGGGTTATCTGGAGGGCCTCTGTCAGGTCATCTTGGCGCACATTTTCCGCCATTGATGTTGGCGCGCGCCCGACGCCCACGAAATGTCAATGTCGATTGTGCCTGTCCGCGCGGCGCGCATTACCGACACCACCCTTAAAAACACAGTGTTTTTGCATTTCTCCATCTTCGCCGCGGCACATTTTAGTATGCGCGCAAAACCCTGCAAAGCGCAGTGCTTTTTATACCTCGCACACACACACACACACACGAAACACTGTAAATTACATGGTGGGAGGTGAGCCGGGGGTGAACCGGGGGTGGGTCGGGGGTGGTCGGCGGCAGGGGGCGTCGCTCCATAACCTTCGGTTTCACCGACCCGACCCCTATTTGGAGCAAGGAAGACAAAGACCGCGGGGTCCCTGCCAGGACGCCAAGCGCGGCGTGCCCACGCTTTGCGTACACGTGTCCTTTCTGCCAACAAGATGTAGAGAGCACAGCAACCACGGGACAGGTCAACCGCAGCCGTATCTGCGGCAAAAAATATTCGTGTGGCCAACGGCGTCGTGGCAGGGCAAAAGCACCGACACGCATGCCCGTGTTGCGGCGCAGCGGTCTTTTCGGTTGTTGCGCGTCGACGCATTCAAAAGAAGCGCAAAATGCCAGCAGGGAAGCCTTGCAAAGGCGAATGCTAGGTGCCGGACCCCTAAACAAAACCTTGTGTGGCCACAGCCGGACACCCTGGCCCGGAGGTCTGAGCGTCGCCGAAGGCTCGCCACAGCAAAGCGCCCTGGCCCTGAGGTCTGAATGTCGTCGAAGGCAGGACCGTTGACAGGCCTAACTTGGCCTTCAGAACTCCATAAGAGAAGAGCAGGCCCTAGGTAGCTGCAGGGGTGCTCCCCAAAAGCTCCCTGGCCCTGGAGGCTGCTAGCTGCCCAACACAGCGTCTGGCCGGCTGCTCATGGACCACGCCAAAACCTCGGCCAGGACAAGTCCCAGGTAGCTGCAAGCGCGCGAACGTCACCTTCGGAGCTCCCTAAAGACGTCCAAGCTGGAGGCTGCAAAAGCCAGGCCAAAAGGGCGATTGCTCTTGACGTTGCAAGGCGCATCCATTGGCAACGGCTTCCACCCTGCGGTGTCCCAGGCGCCGCCCCGCCTAGGCGTCAGTCAGGGCGGGGTCGGCGGATAGTTGGATTCCAAAAGCCCAGGAAACTTTGAACACGCCATTCCTCCTTAAGAGTGCAGGTGGCAGTATGGGGCCCCCAACATTCTTGCAAGTCGAAGTCTGATGATTGGCTTCATCAGCCGCAAGCGCGGTGGAAGCTACATAAGTCACGAAAGGTAGCTTGAGCTACCTGAGTTCTCCTTGCTTTAGCAAAAGTGTATTGCAATCAGGAGTTGGGATTGTGCATTGATTTTGGTCCTGTAAGAGATGATTCTGTTCGTCGGGGGGGGGCCCCCTGGATCAAATCCTCCCTTGCGCCGGTTCACGCCATCATGGACTTCTACCAGGGTTACTTGTGATTGCCTGCTACCTTTCGTTCACCCCTTCTCTCTCAAGTTGGTTCGTTGTTTGTGACTTTGTTTCGCACTTGCTTCCATGCTCTCAGGTTGGCTGCCATTTTTGCAGGGGACAGCAGCAGCGGCATCATCCCAGGTAATCAGGCCATGGGCTTCTTCGGCACATTGATGCTATTTGGCAAAAAATTTGGGTTGAAATAATGAGATAGTAGCCAGGATCCTGGGAAAGGAAGGAACACAGAAAAGAAGACACACAAGATGAAACCTACTGTGTGGACCTCTTGTAGGACACGTTTCTGTCACACTTTTGCTCGACACTCTTCCAAGATTCTGCCTTGACACTTCTGTGGGACACTTTGAACATCCGCCAAAAGTGACACGTGATGCCACGTGACATCTCCAAAACGAGCCTTTCGTGTGAGATTTCCTCCAATAATGGAGCTTGAAGTCTTCAAAGCAAACACTTCATTTAAGACCTTTGCCAAACTAGACACGTCAAGCCTTCAGAGCTAAAGAGCCAATATGTTAAGCTTTCCAGAACATCAAGAGCGGAACAAGAAAGCGCACGGCAAAGGAGTGTGTGTGTACACTTTGAAAGTAATCTGTGGACAACTGATGCCAGTTTCATTTTTTAGCCGGGCGCACAGGCTCATTGTGGATACCTGGGGGAACCGGAGACTGATCACCTCCGTATACCTGCTGATAGTTGTGGTGTTGTAGCTACATTGCTGCAGCGAAGCCAGACGTCACACTTGGACGCGTCACGTTTCTACTACGCTATTTCACATGAATTTGACACAGTGTCCACCCGTCCAAGAGTGCTCAACACCAGCTGTAAACGAAGACCGTTATGATGCAAAAAGAGGTGAAAAGACATGAAAACAAAACATGCTACTGCAACATAGTGCAATGCCTTTGATTTTGCATCTATACGTTTTTAGCATTGGTCACAACCCCGCCAGAGACAGTGGAGTGGTGAGTGGTGTAAAAACATGTTCCAATGTACTATTTACTATTCAGACTGGAAACACTTCACTTTACCTTTGGATTGTAGCAACACGTGACGGTTGGACAATAGCTGGTGACAGTCACCGGGTAGGAATCTCTCCTCATTCTGATTTACTTTGTGGTTTGCGCAAAGGTCAAAACAAGGGATACTTTCGCTGCAGGTCACACCCTTAGGCACTTAGGTTTTGAGTAGTTTTCATGATTGATCGCCATTTTATGGTCACTTTGTGCACTCAATGGACTGGAAAAAACAAAACGGACTGCGTTGCGTTCATCTGAGAATGGCCACATTCTCGGGCGCGATCTGTGGGCAGCTGTTGGGATCTCTACAGGGCTCAGTGGAGTTGGCCTTCAGTGATGAGGTTCGCTGGGCCTGCGCGGAGGACCCGTTTCGTCAAAAGACAATATCGCCTGATTGTAGTCTAGCATTGTTTAGCCCTCGGCCGTTTGTTATGTCACGATGTGTCGCGTGGCAAATGCACAACATTGCAGGCATTCCAGTTGCAATCGCAGAGTACTAAACTTGCTGGCCCATGGCCCAAGGCCGCCTGTGGCCCTGTCCAGGACTTGCCTCGGGGTGTGCTAAGCCTTTAGCTCGAGTTGAGTTAATGTACTGCACCTTCTCAAAGAAGGCGGTGCTTTCGGAGCTGAAATTGGTTCCAACGCTGGAAGCGGATACAAGCTGGCCAAAGCAGCAGAAGAGCAACTAGGATCGTTCTCGGTGCATCACAGTTCAGAAGCTCTGAAGATGTTTGCACGGCGTCTTTGGTGCACCTCTGAATCTGAAGTCCTTTAACGTTACGATTCTATGCGATTCTGATTTTGCTGGCACGCGGAGCGCACAGTCAAAGTACTTTATGCCGGGGAAAAGCCGCCCTTTGAGAAGGAGACCAATACCAAATTTGGCCACCCATGCAGTCTGCGCATTTTGCCCCATCCAAGATGCACACGAGCCATTTTGACGTCAAATTTTGTTTCGCCAGACCCAGTTCAGCCTAATTGCTTGCATGGCAACTAGCAATGGCGAAGATGCTCGTGGGCTTCGAGAATGGGTCACTGTTGTTCTCGGTTGCTCCGTAACATTCCTCTTCTCATATTTTTTCTATGGCTGGGCTGCGATGCAAGCTATCTTTGAAGCGGATGGTGTATACAAGGAGGTATGCCCCGACGAGGAGCCCTTGTGCTCAGACCGCGGGAGTCGAATGATCTTCCTCTTCAGCGTGGAAAATACAGTGATCTGTTTTGCAGGCATCTCGAGCAGCACACTGATTCTATTTTTTCCTCTTTGTTACAGGCATCAGTAGGTGTTGGGATGCAGACTTTGATGGTCCAACTTAATCTATTGCTAATATTCGATCTATATATCAATATTGTCAAAACATGATGAGACGGAAACGGAAGTCAACCACCCAGACACTTGAGCACAAATGAGAAGTGTACACGGACCGACTTTCAGGCCCAAGCGAAAAGTGATTTGCGCGCTTCGCATGGTAGCGGAGCCGGGTTGTAAAGTGCCCGGCTCCCTACCGCACGCCACCCGCGCCACGATCCCTGGGCAAAGACCTAGGTCAAGATCCGCTCGCCCGCGGCGAAGTCCACATCGGTGGCGTTCTGGCTGATCGAGCTCCTTCTTTTAGCTGGAATTGCTGGAGGAGCCGGAGATCCTGCCATCCAGGAGATCCACTACCAGAGCCCGAGCGTGGCGCACACAAATAGCAGGTGGAAGGTCAGGTACCTGCACACCATCCTGGTGGGGACACAGGAGCGTGTTGGGAAGCTAAAGTGGGCACGCAGCGACCCTGTGGTGAAGGCCACCCTGACGGTCAGAGAGAAAGATAGGAAGAGAAAGAAGCGATCCAGGGAGCAGAAGCAGCTGATTATCTTGGTCCCAGCTGGCTGGAAGCTCGTCGAAAAGATCGAGAAGCTGAGAGACAACACCGACAAGGAAGTCATCAGCGACCTAGTGGCGAATTGGGACTTCACCCAATTGCTGGACTACTTTGATTTTGAGCCCAACCACTCAGAGAAGACACCTACATTGACTACAAGGACGTTCGGGCCCTACATTTCCTACCTGGCTGCAATGGCTGAGGAGAGCTTGCAGAAGATTTCACAAGCTTCGGAGTCAAAGCTCAACAGCCTGGTCTCGCCATCTAAAGACTCCAGACATCTTCAAGCCTGACACCAGGGACAATGAGCTAAAGCAATGGAGCGATTGGAAGTTTTCCTTTGAGAACTATATGTGTGAAGGGCATCGATCCAGGCATGGCCCATAGCATGAGAATGGTGGACGGAGAATCTGAACTGCAGCTATGAGCTTGATGAGATGACAGATGAAACCAAAGCCTCCTCCATTCGCTTGTACAGCTTGCTCATTTCCTACCTCAGGAACCGTACCCTAAAGCTGACCAGGCACATGAAGCAGGAGAACGGCCATGAAGCTTGGCAACGGCTCCTACGAGAGATGCAACCGGTCACAAGAGCCCGGTCCTTGGCCCTGTTGACTCAGTTGTCTTGGGTGCAATTTGCAGAAGGAAAGTCCATATCCGAGCAACTGCCGCTCTACGAATCCATTGTGAATGAGTACGAGAGGATCTCAGGGCATGACTACGCCGATGATGCCAAAGTGGCCTCCATCCTCCAAGCTGTACCAGAGCCCATTTGCAGCTTTGGATCACTGATTCAACCACCAACAAGGTGATGGAGCTAGAAGCTTTGGCAACGAGGTGGGACAGTTCGAACAGCCTGAGTTTACCCACCAGGTTGGGAATGGATGAGGCAGTTCCCATGGAGGTGGACTACATTCGAGGAGACAAAGGCAAGAAGGGCGGCAAGAGCAAGTCCAAGGACAAAGGAAAGTCCAAAGGGAAGGAGAAAGGAAAGGGCAAGTCAGAAGGAAAGGGCTCATGGAAAAGCGGTGAGAAAGGGAAAAGCCTGTGGGAGAAAGGAGGATTGGGAAAGAAAGGGAAGAGCCAAGAGAAAGGAAAAGCTGGACAGGTCACTGGAGCATGCCACAATTGCGGGAAGGTTGGACACTATGCCAAAGATTGTTGGAGCAGCAAGAGAGTGGCACCAGTTGAGGAGACGAGTGGAGGAGCTTCCTCGTCTACAGGCCAACAGGGACCGCCTACAGTGACGACAACATCCTCCGTCAAGATGGTGAGATCCGCATGCCCACAGCCTCGAGATCTTCGACCTGACTGGAGGCGGCTCAGGATCGGAGGATCATGTATACCCATGGCGTGTGGGCATGGTTGAAATGGAGTACGAGAATGATGTTTAGATGGAAAGCTGCGAGAGTGAGTTCGAGGACTGCATTGAGCCCGTGGACATCCCGGAGGGCATTTGCATTGTGGCCATGGACTTACAAGATGAAGCTGAGGAGCAACTGGTCCAGATGGTGAGGATGGACCAGAATGACATTGAGGAGTGCCTGGTGACACTTGACAGTGGGGCGGACATCTCCGTCCTTCCTGCCCAAGTCCTATGGGAATGTGGGACGCCGGGCGCCGGGCACTGAGTCTTTGAAGATGGTGGACGCGCAGGGAAAGCAAATAGCCCATGATGGAGTTACAAGAGCAAGGCTGCGCGCGACAGATGCAAATAGAAAGAATGTGGAAATGGTGGAGGAGTTCGTCCTTGGGAATGTGAAACATCCAATCCTATGTGCTGGGCGACTTCTCAGAAAAAGTTGGTGCATCGAGAATGAAGGAGGTAGCGTAGCCTGACCCTGCAGCACAAGGAAAGACGTGTTGTGGTTCCGATCAGCGACGAACGGAATTCCGCAATTTGCAGCAAAGATCTATGTGGTCGAGACCATAAAGAATGAGGACAAGCAGCAGGAGGAGACTGCGAGGAAGATGGAGAAGCCTGCAGTGGTGTTGGCGCTCAGAGGATCACTGAGCAGATATGTGAAGGAGTTGGAGCTGGCGCCGGGCTGGCGCAGGCTGGCCAACGGCATTGCAGCCTACAGCGATCCAGTAGCGACAGCCCTCGTGGACCCACGTGGCCAGATCGAAGAGACTTGGAAGTCGAGAATGACTCTAGTCAAAGATGGTGATGGTCTTTGGACGCAAATGGAAAACGTTGAAGACTATGCAGGGCTAGGATCTCAGGCCTATCGCAAGATCGGTTTGGGCGGCCCACAGAGGACAATCACTTTCTTCGCGGCCTCCAAGATGGAAGACTACTGGGAGCAAGATTCAGAAGTTCCTGTTCGTCCACTGCCTGAGGAGAAGATGAGAGAAGTTCAAGGCAGAACAGACTGGCCAGAGGATGACTATGAGAACGAAGATGAACTGGAATTGCAAGTGGATGCAAGGGACATCGAAAAGATGGTGGTTGCTGAGAAGAGAGATGAAGTGGAGCTGGATGAGACGCTCTATACAGAGAAGATGACTGTGAAGGAATTCCAGCTGGCGTGCAAAGAGAGGCAGCTACCTTATAGTGGAAGCAAACGAAGGTTGCTTGACCGCTTGATTGCCTTCAAGGTGAACCTTGAGAACCAAATGAAGCTGTCCATCGCCAGCAAGTTGTTTGAAGAGCAGGAGAGAAGGCCTACAGGTGAAGATGTGAGAGGAGATGAAGGACCCGTGGACAAGGTGAAGGAGCGGTCTGACCAGTTCGGGACGTGCTTAGTGATGGCAGCCTTGGAGACGAAGGCAGTCCACGTTGCGCCAGTGCCCACAAAGGGCACTGCAAGCCTCAAAACTGTCACGGAGGTCATCAGATTCTCCCTCAAGAACAGCTCCATAGACCCCGTTGTCTTCCAGGGGGGCCCCGAGAGAGGGCCGCTCGACAAATACTCAGGTCTGTGCAACAGGTCCGGGCAGTGATGGGGCTGAGCAGTGAAGTGAGGATGACAGGGCCGATGCAAACTGCCTGAGGAGCTTTGCAGAGACGGGAGCAAAGGTGAACATCATGGGGAACATGCGCGTGTATCCCTGGTCTTTCCGCTATGCAGCATTCCTGCTCAACAGATTCCCAATCCTGGAGAAGATTGGAAAGACAAGCTACGAGTTGGCAACAGGCCACGCGTACAGAGGAAAATTTGCACTCTTTGGGGAGTCGGTGATGTTCAAGAAGCTCACCAAGGCCAACGACATCTTCGAGCGTGGAGTATGGGTTGGAAAGCGCAGCTGGAATGATCGCCATGTGGTCCTGACAGCCGCAGGTGCGTTTGAGGCAAGGACCATCAGAAGGCTAGCAGCTGAAGAGGCATTCATTGCCAGTGATCTGGTGATTGTCAAAGGCCTGCCATGGGCATACAGCCCACAAGGGATCCTGATGAAACACGCAGGAGCGGCACAGCGCTACAGGCAACCTACATTGGAGGCTGAGGCAACGGAAGAGGAGCTGAAGGCAGTGCGAGATGCTGTAGCAGCAGGTGTGGTTAGACCAGCACCAGGTCTTCGAGCTCAACCATCCACACCAGGCCTAGCCAGTGGAGCACCTGTGACCCCAGCTGTCATCCCGATGACTCCAAGGGCAGAGAGAAGCCTCGATACAGAGGAGACTGGTCCAGAAGCTAAGAGGCTGGACGACACAACATCGCCAAGGAGGAGTCGTGAGAAGAGGGCAACAGACGAGACATCAAACTCAGGCGATGAGAAGAGGCAGAAGGTGAGTGAGGAGACAAATGTTGTGGACGAGAGCTCAAACTTGGAACCGCCCAGAGGAGTGGTGAGGACAGCAGAGGAAAGTGAAGAAGTCATGGCAAGTGCTTCACCAAACAAATCGTCTCGCCTGTATCCTCCGCATAACGCAAGAATCCAAGCCATTGAGGCTACAGACCTCATCCCGGACGAGATCAATGAGGAGCTTTTTGCTAGGTATGGAGGAGAAGAAGATGAGGACCCTCCAATCACGTTTGAGGAACACCTGCAACTGCTCGACAGTGAAGCCCGAAAGGTGGAAGTGCAGCGAATGCTGGACATTCCTGCTATGGAGGAGTCTACAAGAGAAGAAGTAGCAGAATGCGGAGGCTACATCATCTCGACCAAGTTCGTCCAGACGTGGAAGCACAGAGTGGAGAAAGGAGGATGGTTTAGGAGAGCGCGACTGGTGGCTCGGCAGTTCAAAGCCAGCGTGGACATCGAACAAACGTTCGCGCCCACGT